GCCACGTGCCTGCTGAGGCATGTCGGCGTGAGCGAGGGGGAGTGGCACACCACGTGGATGACCCCGGAGACCCACGGCATGAAACAGTAATGGAAGGCGACAGACAGCCAAACAAACACTTGGGGAGCAGCTGTGGGTGACCTACATACTGGAGAGAAACCATGCTGATGGGCCGCAGGGCGCTCGAATCACGGCGAGGAAACTACTGGAGCCAGAGATATGACCCGGGGCTTGTGGGATCTCGCAGTTATGACGGCGCGTGATGGATATGAAGTTAAGGACCCAACGCTTTCATTGTTGTGACAAGACAGATCACCGTCCTCTTCTGGAAGTGGTCACGTGAAACGAAACGAATTGAGAATTGAAACCAATTAGGAGCATGAATGGAATGGCCAATCAGAGAAAGAAAATCATCATTCACCTGGACTGAACTTCAGAGATCAATAACCAGAGCCAAGCGCTGTCCTCCCTCCATGAATACATAATGCTAATTGATTTCATTGAGTCCACACAATCGTTTTGTTCCAAACAAAAGGTCTTTGGAGATCTGAGTTTACCATCCTGTTAGCATTTGTAAAAGAAAAACATTCTTATTCTCCAAAAGTCAAAACGGTTTCTTCCCACAGGATAACCATTGTTAAAAGAAGTACATTTTAGCATCATTTTAAAAAGAATAATTAGGAAATAATGTTCCAATAAATAAATTATAACTTCTATTGTCTTTGAAATATGGTTAAAGTGTACTGCTGAATACTGAAAATCATTCATCATTTCTTGTAGTTACACATTTGTCATTTCAGTACATTTAAAATATTCATTTTAAATATAATATTAAACAGCACATTGCAATAATAATCAAGTACTTTACTGTTCTTTAGTATATTACTCAACACATCAAAAAAGTACTTTAAAACTTTCAATCTGACATTATTACCACACTGTCACGGTGTTGCTGTGCCAGAGAACAGGCAGGACAATGAGGGTGAAGGATACAAGAAGCCTTTAATAACTTAACAAGAGGGTAGGAGCACACGCAAAGGGTAACATTCACAATAACTGACAAACTGGAACACAATGGACAGGAACTGATATAGGGTGGATAACGAGGGGCAGACAGGTGAGCACAATGAGGTGATTAACTAATAATGAGAACAGGAACAACCAAATAAGGACACAGAGGGAGAAACCATAATAGACAGTCCACAGGGGTGTGACACACACACAGTATACTTTGTGTGCACTCAATTGTGCTAAAAACAATAAAGTGTGTTCTCTTAAGTACTATTAAGTGGCTTTTTATTTCATTAATATTACATTATATTATATTCAAGAACAGTTTTTGAAATATACTTTTAAGATTTGAAGTATATTACTGTGCTTCTTTTTTGACAAGGGAACCTAACAATATTAAATCAGTTGTCGACGTCAACAAAGACTCACATTCTCACTTATTTATAAATGACAACATTCTGTACAATACGGTCCAAGAGTCCAAAATAAAATTAAATACAAATATTATTTATTAGTGTAATAACTTGATAAAAAAAAATCAAAAATGAATTTTTACAATGTTGTAGAATTAGGTTTGTCCTTCAGCAGCGCTCAAACTGAAGCACTAAACAAAACTTGATGATCATGTTCTCCAGCAGGATTGAGATGGTCCAAAGATCAAGGAAGAAAGACTATTGACTGTTTGCAATAAAGCATTTTCAAATTAATTAAATCTTGATTATTCATCTTACTGGCTTGGTAATTATCCTACAAAAGACACGTACAAAGATATGCATGAGTCTCTGATCTGGACATATTATCTGAAGATGGTGAGTGTTGGATAAATTATAGATTAATAATTTGATATTCCAAGTCTTGAGTAGTAAAACAAATTTAGCCAGCAAGGCCCAGTGGACTAGGCTTTTGAGTTCAATCTGAGTCATATGTCAATGGGTATGACTCACTGCTATGCATTACATAATTAAATCTTGATTATTCATCTTACTGGCTTGGTAATTATCCTACAAAAGACACGTACAAAGATATGCATGAGTCTCTGATCTGGACATATTATCTGAAGATGGTGAGTGTTGGATAAATTATAGATTAATAATTTGATATTCCAAGTCTTGAGTAGTAAAACAAATTTAGCCAGCAAGGCCCAGTGGACTAGGCTTTTGAGTTCAATCTGAGTCATATGTCAATGGATATGACTCACTGCTATGCATTACATAATCAACCCTCTACATTGCGACTAAATCTTCACTCTGGGCGACTAAATTATGTCTAATATTAGCCAATTGCTAATAAATTCTCAGATTTTACTCGCCAGTGTGAGTTGGAGGCCAAGTATAAGTTTAGCTCAGATATATTTTCACTCACAGAACTCTCTGACTGAGCGCATCAAGAGTTTCACTCTCTGCCAAGCGATCTGTGCTGTTTTTCAGTTCATCTGAATGGATGTGCAACGCACCTGTATTTAACGTACTGTAAACTCTAGTGTGAAGGCGCACTCCTCGCCGTCGCTTTGCTTCACACACACGCAGCGAGAGAGGGAGAGAGAGAATTGACATGCTACCTATGCGCTCTACATGTAAACGATATTCTTTGTTGTATTTTGCTGTCAAAATAACGGAGTTCCTTTGGAATTCTTCCGCTTTTAAGAACTACCGCTTTCTCCGGTAGTGGGCGGAACTAATGCGCAAACGGCAATCTCATTGGCTGGCGCTCACCTATTATCGTCCCTGTTTTGATTTCAGCGAATCAGTTCGAGCGAACGCACACAGCCTGATTAATATTCATGAATCCAGTAGCTCATTAATCCTTGGTGCGTTTTATAATGTTCTTATTAGTAGAATTCGTATCATTATTATCTAATCAGTATTTTTATTAGTTTTCCCCCAATTTTTAATTGTTTTTAAACACTGACTGATCAAAAAAGCACCAACACCAGTCCGAAGTTCAGTTAAAATGACTAATATGCATTCATACATGGTTATCAAGTTTTAATTCTAATTACAAAAGTTCTATCATTAAATAATATTGATTATCATATTAT